GGGATCTACAACATACAAGGTCCGTAACTTCCAAGGGAAAACTTTAGTGAGGCATCTTCAAAGGTGATTTGCAAAAGAAATGCGCTTTTTCCCCTTCTCTTGAGGAAAGGTGGTTGAGTTTCCCTGTGTGTTGTTCTCCATTACATATCATTGCTTTGATATGCCACGCTATGGTGGCAGAGACAGGATCCCTCGTGCTGTAGCTTTACAACTCGGTAGGCCTGGCTGGACTTTTAGCCTTGACAGACTCCTGCGACCTCAGGCAAATCTGTTTCCCATACGTAAAATGCAGATACTTCACCCCCATAAGGGTGACAAAGATAATTTCTTAAGGTCTAGAGCCATCACTCTTTACTGCAGTGATGATGAGCTCTAGAAGTACTTGGAGATTCATTCTCTGTGCCCCCACCCCGGCGAAATATTAATGCCTTTACATGAAAATCAACCTAACTAAAGAACTTTCACGCTCAGAGACCCCTTCCCCTTGCAAATCATTTGACATCAGATATAATGATAAATTCTCAACCGTCAGCAGTCTCCTCCATGGCCAAGCACACCTGTAGTTCTACTAAAACCAGGCAGGGATTACTGCTTTTAAGAAAAGCAGGAGTCTCCCCGCCAATATGAAGCCCTTGCTGTTAAGCAAGCAATGTGTCATTTTGTAGCTCTGTCACTGCCAGGGAGCACCGCACTGGAGAAGGCTGGTTTCATACAAGCAGTGGAAGGAAGTGGTTAAACTTTGAACCTGTTAAACAGTTAAGCCCTGTGTAACACTGTGCCAGGACTAACAGCAGCAGCAGAGGGAACGAGGAGGCCAGCGTTCCTAGTAACGAGGCCGTGTCATTATGCTGCAGTCCTGACTTGCCTAGTCCAGGTCTGTACTGAAGCCCCCAGGCAATGTCTCCAGTTGAATTATCAACCCCCTGTGCTGTAATTCAGTAGCAAGCCATGACCCTTATTCTCTAGCAGGGGTGGGGGGGTGGGGGTAACTCCACTGCAGATGTACATTTGGACTGCAACAGTTGCAATTTCTTTACCTCTTTTTTGAATCCTAAATTCGAAGTTTGATCATCTTTACACCCGTGTCCTTTTCCATCAGTCAAATCAATACTGCTCTGCATTTGAAGAATGCAGATGCCAAGCTCCAGAGTACTCTTCAGTCTAAGCATCACAAACCCTGCTGAAGGAGCATGAGTTGCAGCAGATGGGTTCAGCTGACCTCAGGGTTAAACGCATTATTTTTCTAGTGAAAAATATTTTTAGAAGTAAAGATCGATAAATGCAGACCATATTCTCTAACACAACATCATCCTTTCCAAGTAGAAGGAATGAGGTTAAGAGAAACAGAAAACCCTTGAAGTGTTACTTTTCCATCTTACTTTATTTCATGTTTTTCTAGAAAAACTCCTCCATGATTCCACAAATTTAACAAAAAGTTTAAAATTCAGGACAGAAACAATCCTGTAACTTATTACAAACATGATTTTTTTTTTCCTTTTTTTTAAATCTTGGATTAGTCTTGGGCCAGATGAATTTCTTACAGCTGAACGAAGAACTCATTTCCCAACACAACTTTTAATATCCTCAAAAAGCAAGGTATTTAATACCTTGGTTTTAGGCAGAATACAATTTTAAAAATCTAGTCGTTGAAGTACTTATACTTTCCTTAGGAGTGCAAACTCATCTCTTTAGTTCTTGATGACTATTCCGTGCCCCACAACAGCAATACCCATCCATTTCAATCTCTTTAAAAGTAATAAAAAAGGTGCACGACAGTTGTCTAGTGTTGACACTACCATGTCCGCTACACTAGTGAGTGCCAGGCACCTGAAATGATAAAGGAAGCTTCTTTTGAGTACCTCAACTGTGCTATAGTGCATGCGAAGCCATTGGTGGCCGTTGGACAGGGCATGTGACGTCAACTGAACCGATAGCAATGTTGGCCTCCGCTTACAGGGGTTATGATGGGGCTCCATAAAGGAAGATTTAATGTTTTACCATCAAAATAAGATCGAGATCTCTGACAAGAACCGCTCCTTGGTTGTCGCATCATACTTTCGTACTAGTTCTGATGCTATTACCATGGAGAGCAGGATAATCACTGGTAGCTAAATCATTGCACTTCCATATATTCAGGCCAACTACAGCAAAGCCAGTATTACTACCATTGTGTCCAATGTTCTTCCTAACTGGCATTTTGTGGTCTAGACACAACCTTTCTATCCATTTCTACACTAAATGACAGTAATCAAAGCCTCAAGGCTTTATACACATCAGACCAAGACAACAGGAAAGCGTTTTTAACCCCTTTTGCCCTCTTATGCAAAGGTCAAGGACAAAGGAAAAGCTGTGTCCTAATCTCACATCCACATTACTCAAAACAATGAGACTCTGAAAGCCTTCAGATTAATCATTTGTACATGACCTAAATAACAAGCTGAAGGACATTTAAAGTAAACTAGAGTTTTGTCCATCTTCCTCAGAAAAATCATTATGGCTAAGAAGTCAATTTTGGAAAGACAACTGTGGTATTTTTTTTTTGTTTGCTTTCTGTTTTTTGGGATTTTTGGGGGTTTTTTTTCTCTTTTTTTTGTTTTTTTTTTTTTAAACAATGCAAGTTACGATGCATCCTCATACAGATTTGAAGTGGTGCTAACATTAGCACTATCGACATTTCCTTCCTATTTTACAATTATCCATCCATGCTCTCAAGAGAGACACAAGAACAAACACTTTATCCACAAATACCTGTACAGGGCATGTTCAAACACCACTCAGTCAGCCTACTAGAGAATCTACAAGTGGGACTTTTCGTATAGGTAACTAGAAGAGGACACAAAGGTTGGGAGGCCCAAGATTTGACCAATTTTGTCCTCGTTGGCAGAGTCATTCCTCCTGTGGTCCCCAATCCCGCCGTACCTCCCCCCTCCCCGCCCCCCTCAACAAACAATAAATCTGTAAAACACCTAAGTACTTAGGAGAACCTTTTAGTAACAAACCAGCATGTGCATACAATGTAAGGAATATTTCTATTTCAGGTTTCCAAGGAGAGTATTATAAAGTCTAAAAAATCCGTGTGTAAAATACCTTTTATAAAAACAAACAAAATTCCCAAATTAATATTTGTAAAATCTCACAAGTCAAATCCAGGACCGGGCATAGCAGTGGCCGTTGGGGGTCACCCAAGGCACTTCCACAGGGCACTGCTACATTCAAGAACATCCTCAAGTCTCTTGCTCCTTGGAACCATTTTAGGAGCATTATGAAGACAGGGAAAGA